AAATACTTCATTTATTCGTGAACTTGGTATTTTAATGAAACACAATCAGCTTAATTTTGACACAGAAAATCAACATTTTAAATGTTTTGCCCATATTTTGAATCTTGGAGTACAAAATATTCTAAAATTATTGAATGTTAACTTTCATGATAATGATGATGTTGTAATTGATGGTTTCGAAAATAGTTTTGATAGCGAAAGCGACGAAAGATGTGAAGATGAGTTGGGTTCCGTAATTTATAAGATAAGAAAACTATTTATTAAAATCAGATATGGAGAGAGTCTCGAAAAAAAATTAAAAGTATGCTGTGATGCTACAAGTATTGAGTTTATAAAACCTACGCTAGATGTAAGAACTAGCTGGAATAGCACCAGCGATATGCTTGAAGTTGCATGTAAATTGAAGCCCGCATTAATCATGCTATGTGATACTTATCTAAAATCCACTGAGTTAAATGTATTTTCATTAAATAGTAGTGAGTGGAGCATTATTGATCAGATTTTAAGATTTCTGAGACCTTTTAAACAGATAACAAAAGCAATATCCGGAGAAAAATTTGTAATCTTACCCAAAGCTGTTATAGCTTTAAATATGCTCTTAGATAAGATCGAGTGTGTTGTTAAAAATTTAGTAGAAAAACAAGAAAGAAGCTCAGTAGATGAAAAATTATTATTAGCTTATCAAGCTGGACGAAACAAAATTATTAAACATTACCAAAAGTGCAATTGGATATATTGCGTTGCGCTAGTGCTGGATCCTCGTCATAAAGAAATTACTTTCGATTATTCAAAATGGGGAAGTGAAATGAAAAAACAAACTATGCTTAAGTTTAAAAATATCTACACAAATGACTATCATAATAAGTTTAATAACGAAAAAAATAACGATGTATTAGATGACAGCTGTAATATTCCTGAGGATTGCATCAATCTTGATGCTCTATATGAAAAACGAAAGTATTCTAGTCTATGGGATGATGAAATAAATCATTATTTACATTCACGTAGGGCTGTCAGGGATACAGATATATTGCAATGGTGGAAAACTCAGAGTGGGGTATATCCTATTTTATATCAAATGGCTAGGGATATTCTTAGCATTATGGCCACTTCAGTGCCTTCAGAAAGAGTTTTTTCGAAAGGATCAGCTGTAGTTACAAAAACTAGATGCAGCCTTAAGGACGACGCTATTAGAGCACTTACATGTATTAGTAGGTGGATGCATTCTGATTCGAGACAAGTTATATGCAAAGTTAATTTTTAAAATATCATTTTTTACTGTTTTACGATAGAATATACACTATAAGATTTAAAAAAATAAAATTTATTGAAAATACTACGATTAAAAAATTATATTCCTATCATCTAATTTTTATTTTGACTTTATATTATGTACTTTTTCGTTCTTCTCGATTATATTTATGTGATACCGATACAATGTACCAAGTAGTGTAGATAATAATTTATCTAGTCACATAAATAAACATCGTACTATATTTGTTTGTTTTTTGTATTTTATGCTGATTATATATTTTTACTATTCAATATTATTTCCATCTCCCAGACTTTTACGATTCATTTGAGAAATGAAGATTTAAGGAATCTTTTCAAGACCAAGACTCAAGATCTTGTACAGAAAGTCTCGTCAAGACAAAAAGTCTCGACATGTGAGGTATTGATCTTGTCTTGATATCGTCAACTTTAATCTTGTCTTGGTATCGTCTTGATTTTCAAGACAAACAAGACGATATCAAGACTAATATCGAGTATTGTTAAAGCCCTACCCGAGCCGTGCGAGGCTCTGCCTCTGTGAGTGTTAAACTACATTTTATTATATAGATCATTTTATAGAAAACTTAATTTTTCATGGCCTACTCAGTTGAAACGACATTTGCATATGTTTGNTCTTGTTTTGAACTTTTTAATTATTTTTGCTATAATATATGATATCCAAACAAACTAGGATCAGGACTTGACTCTAGCCATTTTTTGAAAATCTTTATTAATTTTAATGCTACTTTCAAGAAGTTCGTAAATTAATTTTGCCTTTTTATACTTATATATAATTGTATTTTGTATTTTTATTAGTAAAACATTAGTTTTTATTACATTCACTATATTTACCTAGCCCCACGAGGCCGCCACAGTCCTGATCTACCATCTTTATGGATCGTAAGGACCTTTTAGTCAATGAAAATTACTTTTTGCTAATCACTAGCAGTCCATTCTGAATGATTTATAGCATATTGTAGTCTTTGGGCCTTATCATTGGCACAAAAAGATGAGTAACGAGCAGCTTCTCAAAAAGATCTGTTCATCCGATGTTTAATTATTTTACGAACAGTTTTCATGCACACAGGCAAATTAAGTTCCTGTTGAAACTTTGTAGCAGATATAAAGGGTTGCTCTAGAAAAGCTTGTTCCATTTCAGGAACATAATTTTCTAGCTTCGGCTCTCGTCGTGGAGGGTTCAGTCTCCCATCTCCGACATTATCTCTGTTAATAGCAAAGCGAGCTTGCCATCGCTGCATCGTTTTCGTACAGCATTCTACTTGTGCACTTATCTCATGTCTTGATAGCCTAATATCTGATAATGCTTTTAATTTTCCTAAATTAAAAGTAGTAGGAACAAAATTCATTTTTTCTTATACAATAACACACTTTCAATAATAAAGCGATACAATTCACGAAATAGCTGAGCTCAATATGCACTGCACGAGAAATACAGCTTGATGAATGTGATTGTCATAGAAAAAAGAAAAAAAAAAAAAACAACAAAAAGGCCAAATAAAGGTGGAAGGGGCATGTATGCTTGAAACATAGAATCTCATCAAAGTAGTCTGCATATGCAAGCAGTAATGCTGCAGCTTCCTACAGTGCATCGTCATAACGTGACAAAGTAAACATCAAGTATACTATTTACAATACGCAANAAAAAAAAAAAAAAAAAAAAAAAAAAAAAAACAACAAAAAGGCCAAATAAAGGTGGAAGGGGCATGTATGCTTGAAACATAGAATCTCATCAAAGTAGTCTGCATATGCAAGCAGTAATGCTGCAACTTCCTACATTGAATCGTCATAACGTGACAGAGTAAACATCACGTATACTATTTATAATAAGCGAGTGCATTAATAGATTTTTAATATACTTTAATGTGTATGAATTAATACACTTCATAATTTGATTAGCGTATAGTAAGCGCAAAGCATTTCGAGTTAGAGTAATACATCGTATCAAACATGCACTTCACTGTCAGTGTGCGATTTGGATAAAATATATGTCATAACTTTCATAGCGCAAACGCTGTTCAAAAAAAATCATAAAAAAACAACATTTTTTTATAGGTAAAATGGTTAAATACAGTAAAGATGAAGAACTGGCATTCCGTAAGTTGATTCTTGACGGAATGCATCACTTAATTAAAAACTCGAACATTGTGGACAGCGTTGGAGAAAATAATTCAGAACTCCGGAGACAATGGATGATCTTGTTAGCTGAGAGTATAAGTTCAAAGACGAAGACAGAATATATATTCTATGAAGAAGTGAAAGGTAAAATTGCTTTTTACTCGTAAACAAAGAACACTTGCGCTCTCTAAATGAAAAATTTTTAAAAAACACATATTTTCAGCTCATAAATAAAAAGCATCAAAATATAATTTTTCGCTAGACTAATATAATAATCCTCAAACAGATCCGTCCACCACTCATTCCAAATTCCGAATTAACGTATACTATAAGATGCTTGAAATAATATTGGACAATTTTTCATAAATAACGTTACATTGTTATGGAGACTGATTCACTACTTTTTTTTTCCAGTATCTTATGTGTCTGCAATTTTGAAAAATATGAAACAACTGCACGAAATTATAAAAATTAAGTTAAATACAGGAGCAGTACCCTCAGATTTCAGTGTGGTTAATTGGAATATTTATAAATTAATGGAGGAATTTTTATTCAGAGTTTAAAATTTGAAATGACAGGCATGCACAAAAATTTTGTAATTTACTATTAATTTAGAAAAAATAAAAAATAAAACGAGGTTTCACAAAAATTTTTTTAATACTCGTCTTCTAGATGCATTTTACAATCCTCAATTAATGCCCGCGTTTTTTTTCCAGTTGTTAAGCAGGTTTACGATAACCTATACCATTATCACAATAAAAAATTATAAGCAAAAATATGTAATTTGTTTTCTTGTTTTAATATAAATGCTTATCTTACACGAATTTTTCTCTATAAAAGGGGGAAAAATAAGTAATATAACGATAAACAAAAAGAAATAACTGATAACTTGGTTTTCTTGGTATAATATTTAGAGATTATTATTTATTAGCAAAATTACAAACACTTTATTAGTCTTTGAAGTTTCTAACAGTTGAACTACTAATATGCACATTAAAGTTAAATAAACATCTACAATGAACTTTTCCCAATATTTTTCTACTTCTAAAATTAACGCATTTAATTATTAATAGCAGATATTTACAATTTAGTCATTTGAATTCAAGAGAACATTCACTTGCGTGGCGAGATTAAAGTCACTCGGTAGAAAGTGGCGAGTTACTCGCAAAAACCACATAAAAAGTAACTAGCTACGATCTAGAGAAAATTCACCAGAATCAAAGTATTTTTTGTCCCCATACAATAATTAAAAAAAGAATTATTATGTTTTACGATCTAAATATTATACATGTGAGTTTACACAACATTAATTGAATTGAGTAGTCTCTTACATTCATACATGTAGGGATTTACCTAATTTTTGGCTAATTCTTAAAATATATAAATTTCAAGGTAGAGCGAAGCATTTAAAAAACATTTTGCTTAGCAGTCATAATATTCATATAACATGGATAAATTACTTTATTTATAACGATTAAAAACAGCCCCATGCTGTCAGCCCCATTGAGTTGCTTGTTGATGATCCGTACACCCGTATAGTCGACTTGGAATAAGTAATATTGATCCGAAAGCAAAAAACTGTTATTCACTGCAGCAGCCCTTGGCGCAGACTCTTTTTAAGTTTCAATGATTAGTTTTTTGCAGAATGGCTAAAAAAATCACTGTTGTAATTTTGAATAATTATAAGCTATTAAATAATAAGACCAAAATAAACTGTACTTTAACCAAACAATTTGTTGAAACATGTGTTTCATTTCATATTTTTATACCTTTTTATGATTTATTCTGAAATCGGGAGTAGTATATATCCCAGCCTATGTTTCATACTCTGGCCACAGTTTCTAAAACAAATGGATTCTATAGTCATTATTCTTGTTCAAGTTAACAGTGATATATTTTAAAACTTACCACATTATTGATCCAAATAAAAAATCCAGTTAAGTATTTATTACAATTTGTCATAGGGCTCATCCGAGGACTATTTTAGGACTAAGATAGGCTGCTAACGAGCAATTTCAAAGCCATGGGCTTCGTCTAAAAACGGTATTACTTAAGACTGATTAATGATGATTGAAGGCAATGTTAACGTTGAGTTGCTGGAACAGAATCAAAATATGATAAATTATTTATTCTATTTTAATAGATAATGTTATGATTTTATTTGTAGTTATAGTAGTGACTAATCATATTGTAAATTTCTTTTTTAACTTCTTTCCCTACCTGTTTCTCACTTTTGTCGTCACCAGCATTTTTACATACAGCTTTTCACACCAATTTATAATGACATTGGAGGCAAATTTATATTGAGTTTTGACTGATGCATATTGATTTACCAACATATTTAGTTTTCAACTTAATACTTTGGCAACAATAAGTGAAATGTAAACAAATGCTTCATAAAAGGTTAAGCTTACCTCAATTACTAAACCATGAAATAGCAAAGGCCTTGTAGAGGCACGACTTCGTTTGGCTTTCTGACACTACAAATGCCCATTTGACTAATACAGTGTCTTGCCAACCGGATGGACAGATCAGAGTTCCACTGACTGTACATATGAACATATACTCTCTGTGCATGCATTTATTTACACACCTATACACGTACATTCGTACATTCCTGTATCTTACTTATGTATAAAACAAAGTTGCTAAGACCGTTGTAATCGCTAACCACGAAAACTACTGAACAGATTTTGCTGAAATTTTGCACACTGATTCTTGACACTGCCTAGATGGTATTAGTATAGTTTTTATCTTGAAAATTCAATAACAATAGTAATAAATAAGCTGAAAGTTTTGCAAAAATACGCCAGCTTTTCACGTCAGTTCAGTAGAATCCGCCAGGTGGTGTCGACATAAAATCGAGGCTACCTGCAACAGAATTAAATAAGTGTGGTTATAATACGCCGGGGAGTCTTAAAAATTGCTGCAGCTGTCTACTGGCATTTCATCGAGAATATGACAATAGTCGTACAGCTGGGTAACCCGGTTACCGATGACACTCTTCTCTAAAAGGCAGTTGACCCAGGTTCACATACACCCTAAATCTCTAGGATTAACGAGTGCGACCATCAAAAAACTATTTTAATGGATAATATCTCTAGAGAAATACCAGGAGACGCATCTATCCAGAGCACAACCTGCTCCAACACTTCAGAGTTGTGTGGCCGTACCACCATCCCGCCTGGTACCGTCAGACAATTTTTGGCTACAAATGTAAGCCAGGGAAGACAGCCCTGAGGAGCACGAGCAGCCATAACGGCTTGCTTGTCAGTGGTCGTTACCCCAACGAGATACCTTCTTTTTTCTGACTAACGATGAGCGGTCAGTTATCTGGGGAACGATCCCAAGACGAGATATTCTTTGGTCGTCGGCGTACCTCCCTCCATCACAGTCTTCATTTATAGAGACTTCGAGGGTAAGAGTCAAGCTACTCGCAGCCAGCTTTTCAGGAATAATAATAAGAAATAGCTGGAATTCTCACCACTGGCCCTTTTTAGGGCGATTATAAACATTGACATTCCCTACTTAAGCATAAATCTCATCGGTTCTTTTAAGGACCACCTAAGCTTAAACTACCTTGCAAACAAAAACATTTTTACTACCATTTCCGAAAGCGATTTGTCGACTAAAAGACTATATCAACTAAAGACGGCCACTATTATTTACTGGCATTTATCACGAGCAGAGTTGTACTTCGCAAGGCTGGGAATCCCGGTGTCTGACGACCCTATGTTACCCTCTTGACTCTTGACATTCAACCAGGAATCACCGATCCTTTCCAAGGTCTGCGCTGGGCGAACCTTACAGCTATGAAGGAAAAAAAAAACTTGATCCAACGGGACAGTCTCCAACGGGCAAGCATCTAGAAGCAATCTTCCTATTTTACATTACCCAAAACAACTGAGTCTGCAAAAAAAAGGTGCTTTAGACACCAACGTCTTCGACGTTATACCTGGAGACGTTGGGAAAGATCTCTACAACTAGCTCCAAAGCTTCGGACTTTGCAACTCTTCTCATGATCAGTCTGGGGCTTCATCAGCAGGTCAGAAAAGATGACCCTGAGGTATCCAGGCAGTCACATTTGCTAGTAACTTCAGTCAAGAAAGAGTTTACTTAAAAAGCTCACCGGTCTTTTTTAGGGCCATTGGACGTCAAACTACCTTGCCAACAAATATATTTGAACTTAACAAAGTTGACAGAAAACAGCTTTTAGGGGTCACAAAAGTCTTAAGCATGCCGAAAGTCACAAGAGGGGAATTAGAAGAAAAACTTCGAATGTATCTAATAATTACAATTTCAGGTGTCAAGAAACTGACGCAAACTATTTATCGAGATTGGAACAGCAGCATCAAAATCGACAAATAAAGAATCTATTACCTAGGAGATTAGCTTTTTATTGTACCCTGACAGTAATTTCTTAAATCTTTAAAATTATAAATTTAGATTTTTAAATAAGTAGAAGATGCATTTGTGTTTTTGAGGCAATAAAAAATGTAAAGATTAGGCTCCAGGACTTTGTTGCTCTGGTAATAAAGTTGTGAGACAAGAAAAAAGAAAAGTTTTCTTCAATATATATTTTTTGCGAGTTTAAAATCTTAACAGCTTAAATAAATATCCCTTTTCGTAAATTATACGGGAGAAACTGCAAATCAACGGCTCCTTATGTCCAACGATTATTTTATGGCACAAGGAACGCACGGTACTTTTCAGCATAATTACGTTTTTTTTAATTCTTACAGCTTATGATTTGACCTAATAAACTGCATGGATTTCAAACAAATACGTTTTCAATAAGGAGATTTTTGTTCTGATAATTGTCAGGAATATATGTAAAACTTTTAACTGAAAACATTTCACATCACATGTCAACACACTACGGTGTTCCATTTAGTAAGCCTCGGGCGAAGCCAAGACGGGGTCCGATAGTATATACATACATACATATTTACATTCACACGCACACACGCGCGCACACACACACACACGTGTGTGTGTGTGTGTGTGTGTGTATACTAGTGGGTCTAACGCCCACTTGCGCGCTCCGCATGCCAACCCCCTACTAACAGATTGAGTAGACAAAATAACGACATTACTCGTGTATTTATCAATGCAGGCTGAAAATTAGTTAACAACAGCAGAATACGTGACTCACAAAGGAGTTGATAAAACACATGATTAATTTAACATAATTAAGTTAACACAAATATTAATTTTCTAATAGTACTTTAAAATAATAGTAGGGAGGGTCTTTCACCACACGAATTAACATTAAAATGTAATGCTATAGTAGTGTTAATAAGAACTTTAAGTGTATCAGCCGGTCTTTGTAGAGTTACAAGATTAAAAATAACAAAATTATTTAAGTATAATATAGAAGCAGAAATAATTATGGGAGAAAAAAGCTAAGCTTATATTCCTAGAATAACATTGAATACTGGCACCTTATTATCATTACCTTTTGTCTTCTATAGAAAACAGTTTCCCTTTGTATTAGCGTGTTCTATATTTATTAACAATTTAGAGAAACAGAGTTTTAATTCTTTAGGATTGTATATTAAAAAACCTTCATTCTCTTACGGATAATTATACGTTGCTTTAGATAGATGTAAGAATCCAAAAAAAATTTTTATTCAAATTGCATCCAAGAATAAACCAGAAATTAAAAATATTGTTTAGCTAGAAATTTTTCAGTAATTCAAAAATTTGTAACTTTGAAGATCATCACATTTAAACAGACGTATGTTAATTTATAAAAACCATGAAAAATAAATATGTGAAAAATGTGAAAAGGATTTTAAAAGAACAGATGGGTTAAAACGACACATGCAATGTCACAACATTAAGCTAACATAGTAAATTATTGTTTTAAAACCTTAATTGTGTTTGTCTATGTAATTATACCTCCTCCTGAATTCTGTCATTTTAATAAAGTCCTCAGGTAATTGAGAATTTTATATTTGGGTAAAGTAGACATGGACTAGTAAGAGATTTGAAATGTAAAAGTTCAATCAAGTTAAACAAATAATGGTACTTCAGAGACATATAGTGAGTAAGGGAAAGCGAATAGACAGAGGAATACCTATGATCAGTGACTTAAAAAACCCTCAAAACGAGGTATGACTTGGGTACTAAATTGGGTATATTTTTTAACATTTATGATGGTAAATTCTTTGATAAATAAGTATTTTGTCGGGGGGAGGTAAACGGGCGGTGGAGGGGGAGCGAGGGGGAGCTTACTCAAATACAATTTGATTAAAAACGATGTTAAAACAAGTAAATAACTACGTTAATCGAGGATGAGCTGAGGGGTAGCGGGGGCAGGGGGGCGGGGGGACTGAGTCTTACTTCCGTCAATACAACTTTATAATATAGGGAGACGAATCAAAGTTCAGAGTTAAGAAATTAGAGTACAAGTATTAAAATAAACAAGACGCTAATGAGTAAAAATATGATTTATTTTAAGTTTTTTTAATATTGCAGTATAAATAGAAATCTCAGACGCTCAACTCCGAGCTGTAGCGCTACCAGCTTCGATCTGTAGTAGTCAGTGCCACTTCGAAGTCGGTTACTTTGAAGTCGGTTTTGCAAGACTCCTAATTCGGAAACAGTGTGACTCGAATAGTTTTGAATTGATGTACATCCAAGTTAGGAGTCATATACTTTTAACTTCGAGTTATGAGAGCCCAATATTCATTGAGCTGTAAGATATCGGTAAGTTGGTCATCTCCAAGTCCTAAATTTTTTTCAGTGTACCAACCATTTTCTCATGAATTCCGTTTTTATATGACTATTCCATTAAGTTACTTATTAAATTAGAGTTCTTTAAATATTCAGTATCTAAAAAACGGTGTTGTGAAACGATCTCAAATTTTACATGTGACTTTTTAACATCATAACGAACATACTGTTGTAATTTCAGGAATATCGTACTTAAAACGCTATGTGTGATAAATGTCCTTAACCTATTTGAAAAATAGTATATTACGTACGAGTTTGCAAAGGCTTCGATTTACAAACCGAGCGGCTTATGGCACAAGCCGAAGGTGAGGGCCGTAACGAGATTCGTAAAGAAGCCTTT